TATATATATATATATATATATATATTTTCTTGTGCATGTGAGTTTCCATGGCTTACATAGTCTTAGTGTAATAAAATAATAAAACTTTGACTTTTTTAGTGTGATAAATCTAGTTTGTAACACATCTTGTACTTTTTAAGATACTCAGAATAATTCTTAAAGTTTGAAAAAAAAACCTTAATATTGCATAATTATAAGTTACAGCTTTCACTTGTATATTAAAATGAAATACTGTGTTTCTAACATAAGTGGAATTAGTTTTCCATCTCTTTAGTCTTAGGATATATCAGAATTGTTGCTATTTAGACAGATAATTCGTTGACTCAGGATATCACCTGTTCTCTGAAGTACAGAGGACAGCAGTGTATTCTAATTAATAGAATACTTGGAGAGAATACTTTGGTGGGTTTTTTGTGGGGGGGGGTTATAAGTTGATAGGCTGTTGGCTGTGCTGGAAAGGAGAATAAACCATGATGTGTATAGAGTTCAACCCTTCTTCATGTCTGGGAAATCATTTTTAAAAGAATTTGCACACAGGGTTCTCAAGTTCTGTGTTTTTATGTAGCAATGAAAAACTTGCCTTATCTTCAAGAGCTATTGACCTGTCAGGTGGTTTACTCAAGTGGTTTGAGCTGTGACCAGTTAACAGCAGGTCAGATGACTGAACATAAGATTTGCAAGATCACTTGCATTTTATATTGGATTTGTTGTTTTCAATTTCTTTCTGCAGTCTTTCACTGTTTTACTGTAAGATAAACTAATGTGATGAATAATTGTTTTGAAAAAGCTATTAAATATGTGAAAACAGTGCCAAATGGAAATACTAAACTAATTTTATTTTTTTGTTTATTCTCTTTAAAAGGTTGAAAGAATCCAGTATGGCAACATCTTTGTCTAGAATCCTTGCTGTTTGGACTAATTCAGCGCTAAATGCCCTTGTTTCATGCTCCCCAGATCTAAAAATCAATCTTAATGGGAACTCGGACATACCTGGGAAGTTGCTGGAATACGTTTACACGCACTGGGAACACCCCCTGGATGCTGTTAGACACCAAACCAAATTGATATTCAAGAATCTTCTTTGGATACACCAAACCGCCATTAATGGATCTGATGAAAAGTCTGACCTGTTCTTCGCAGGGTTGACAAAAAGCTTACTGAGTTTGGAATGGCATGTAAGAGGGAAATATGCTTCTCTTGGCTGTCTCGTGGAGTTCATGGGCACTGAAAATATATTACAGTTGGACCGAACAATTCCAATACAAATCCTGGATGTGATGAACGATCAGTCTCTTGCACCTTATGCTAGTGATCTTCTGGAAACCATGTTTGTAAATCATAAAGTACATTTTACCTCAGTTTTTCAAGAGAACAACTGGATTGACCAGTGGCATGACACCTGGATTTCTCCTCTTCTTTTAATACTATGCGAAGGGAATAATGACCAAACTACTTACATAATAGATTACTATTTACCCAAGTTGCTAAAATGTAGCCCTGACAGCCTGAACTACATGATGAAAATTCTTCAGGCTTCTGCTGATGCTAATCTTGGTAAGGAATTAAATATAATATTTGTAGTTACAGTGATTAAAATAAGTGAAGCAAACCCAGAAACCTGATCTCTAATTTCTTATTCTTGTAAGAGTTAACTTGAGAGAGAAATTCCAAATGTTTGTTCATCACTTTCAGTATTTCAGGTGAAATTCATTATAATGAGTGTCTTGATGACATGAGCAAAATAGTTATCATTCTGTAGGTGCCTTGCTTTCTTACCAGTCTTTGGGTTCATAACATAACAACATAACAACATAAAAATCCAACTATTTTTGTCTTGCATTTTTCTCACGCAGCACAGATTCAAGAACACAGTTGTATAAATTATTGTTTTTCCTAACATACCAATAGAGATTTCATGCTTCTTATGTAATTTTTGACATATTTGAGTGTAATTCTCAAATAATGTCTTGTGAGACATCACAGGGGCTGTCTTTATGGTGCACTCAAGACAAAACCTTTTTTGAACCAGGCAATTTAGTAGTAGTTAAGTTTATGATATGGTGTTTCTTCTGAGGCTTGTGGGGGTGGATAGAAAAAGAGCAGGGGGGAGGTGTAGTGCATTGAAAAAATGTATAGTTTTTGACAAGCCTTGCAATTGTTTACACATTGACTGTGTTAATCAGATTGTAACTGTTTATCCTTGTAGGCTCTCGCAATAGGAGAGGAGCTCTGGGGGCACTGATGGCCTGTCTGAGGACAGCCAGGGCTCACGGACACCTGGAGCTCTCAAATATCATGAGCAGCGGTCTCGTCTCATCCGACTGTATAAAGCAGGGTCTAGTTCATCAGCACAATCAGGTAGAGGGACAAAACTGTTTTTGTGTCTTCAGATTGGAAGAACTGTTGAAATCCTAAATACTATCTCAGCATTCTTTTGAATCATAAGTAAGACTGTACTACTTTATGTGTTTAACATCTGATTGTTTTTCAGGTTTGCATTGATGCTTTAGGTTTGCTTTGTGAAACCCATCGTAGTACGGAAATTGTGTCTATAGAAGAAATGCAACTAATTCAGTTTTTTATTACTTACAACTTGAATAACCAGGCTCCTTCAGTGAGGCAGCAGATATGTTCTTTATTGAGAAAGGTAATCTTAAAATTTAAACAAAATGTTCCATGTGCTTTTTTTTTTTTTTTTTTTTTTTATGTTATGCAGCATTTAAAATACACTAAGTATGCTGTGGAATTGTTTATCTAAAAGCTTATAGAAACTCTTGATCCAAGACTATGTTGTCTTTATTATGCAACTGAATGCAGATAAGTTATCCCAGGCAAGGTTTTTGAGGAAAAAAAAAAAATCAAATGACAGATGCAACTTGCTCGTGAGTGGCACTGAGTGTTATGTAACCCATCAGTGGATGTTTAACTATGGCATGTGAACAGCAATGCAACCTGGAATAAGCAATGAAGTTTGTAATGCCTTTATTGTGGACCAAGTGCATTTTTACTTAGACTTATCGTAGGTCAGACAGATTCACAGTCAACTTAAACTCAGCGACCTGACTGGGAAGACAAGGCAGAGGAGTATGAAGAAACACTTGTGGTCAACATGATGTGGTTGTACTGCTAGGAAAGTGGCCTCTTCATCAGCTCTGACATTTTGATAGAGAAGAATTTTAAGATGTTATTTGTAAAAGGAGAAGTTCCTTCATGGGGATATGCTCTAAAGCACAACAGAGGCAATGAGAAGAGGTGTATATAGGAAACCCATCATGTAAACATGAGACTAGCATCCTCGGTCTACTAAAAGAGGCAATGAACTGAAAATGCGTTTAAAAGTAAAGATCAGCAGTTTCAACTGGGATTTGTAAACAAAAGGGAGCCCAGAGAGGTGTTCAGAAAAAACAGTAAGTCGGTTAAAGACTTAGATTAAGAGAGTGTTTTATGTATTAGTGTTTTGATGCGTAAGCAGTGCAAAAGTGTCAAGGCTAACCAAGAAAGTGGTGTTGTGGAAGCTTGCTCTTGAGAATGTTAGCTCTGTGCTTGGTTAGAAAGATGAGAAGATAGTATGGTGGAAAGGACGGGAGAATCAGGAAGATGATAGCTTAATGAGAATTGAGTAGAACAAGTGGGTGTTTGGTGATGGGAAGAACTGATGTGAGTTGTCTATTAATTGAAATACTCCAGGCCAAGGAAGTCTGCAAAGATCAAATGTGTCCACGTTGTAGAAGCTGCCAGGATCACTGTTGGGAGATCCTGGAAGGCAGATGTGGGTAGCATGAAGAAATCCTGTATGCACAAGGAACAATCTGAAAGGTGTTAGTAAATGGGAGCCTCGTGAAAGGAGAAGATAATTAGTTGGAGAGCTAGTAAGGAAAAATGAGAGAGCAGACTTGGCAGAAACAAAAGAGCAGAAGCTCAACTCTTTCCACTTTTGCTTGATGCAGAGTAGGGGAAAATTACGTTAGAGGAAACTTGGTAAGAAAGGAAACGACATTAGTGGGGAATAACAGAGCTGGGAAAAAAACTCCTGAACTGAATCAAGCTCTCTTTGTGAGAAACCCTGAAGTTATAAAAAGGATGTGGATTAATTGAGTTTTTTTTAGTGGAAGGAGCTGAAAGTGAAAGGTGAAAATTAGAGAAAATGAAGAGAGATGGGTGGGAAGACTGGGCGTGAATTT